GTGAACCCCCAACACCAGGTGAAATAAGCAGGTGTTTCTGTCTGGGCACCTGAGACACTGCCCAGGGCCTGACACCACAATCGTGTGGAAAATGACAGAGAATGAGGAGACGAAGCAGGGTCAGTGGACAGAAACTGCCTCGGTGTTTTTAGCAGGGGAATGTGGATCGCGCTCCTCTGTGCTGATCCAATTGACTTTTAGGCCTCATAAAACTGGAGAGGGGAGAATAGAGGGAAAGTTCCCAGGGAAGGGCCGGATGTGCCAGGTACCAGAGCTCCTCTGCTGGAGGCCTGGGGACCTGAGGACAGGGAGCTCAGAGCCAGGGGACACGTGTGGGGCCAATCAGGGAGTTCCTGCAGCTCCTTCCGCCTGCCTCTGCCAGTGGCCCACCTGGAGGGCTCCTCAGCTTCACCCCAGGCTCTCCTGCAGGGACACCCAGTTCAGCTGCCTGCCTCAGAAGAGGCCCCCTTCCCTTCTCCTGGGGCTTCATTCCAGCACTTGCAGACCCCCGCTCTCCACCCGGTGTCCCTGGCCTCTGTTCCTTCCCTCAAGTCCTTTTTCCTGCCATTCCTGCCCCTAGTGGAAAATCCCTGGCGTGCACCACTTGCTGTGCCCCAGCGCCTCCTGCCCTCTCTTGGGGTTTTTTCTCACTTCAGCCCCCTCAGATCCTGTCCTCCACCTGTTCCCTGCCTGCTCTGGGCGGAAGCCCCAGGCTCTGCCAACTCATTTGCACTTAAACTCCTGCTCACTAACTTCAGGGGGGCTCACAGCACTGCCCAGTCGGCACCTGCACTTCCCAGTCTGGGCTCTGCCCCCTACAGCCACCTCACGCCCTCAGCGCTTCCCAGGCTCCAACCTCTGCCTCCTTGCTCACTGCCTCTGGTGACCTGACTTCCCAGGTCTCCGGGAAAGGAAGGAAATCCTTCTACACCCTGTGTTCTGCCCTCTCTGTCACTGCTGTGGAGGGACGGCCAGTCCTTGGCTGGGAAGCTAGATCGTCCCTCTCCCCATACGAGGGGGAACAGAGCCCAGTCCTGGGGACAGGGGCCTTCCTCCCTCCTCCCTCCTCCTTCTCAGGCAGGAGCTTTCTCCTTCTCGGAGGTGGGAGCTGAGAGGGTCCGCCCACGGTTTCTGGGCACCTGTCAGCCTGGATGACGTTGGACAGCCCCCCCCACCCCCAGCAGATCCCACTGCCTGGAGAGGGTCCTGCATTTGGATTTAGAAGGGCCCACAGCAGTCTCGGCTCTCCAGGCTTCTGAAAGGAACTTTCCAGTGTTTCTTTAAATGCTCAGTGGAAAGGGGAGTTCCAAAGGGGTGAGGACAGGCCCCTACTGGCACCCCAGTCCCAACATTCCAGAAACATTGCCAGGCTCCAGGTGCCTGTGGCCGTCCCGCAGGACAGGCTTGTGCCTGCCTGCCTCAGGACCACAATGTGGCCGCCCACCCAGTTCCACCCGCTCCCTTCCTGTCCCCCGGGAGAATGGCCACAAGATCAAGGCAGCGTGGGGGGCTCCCAACATTCTCACTGACCTTCCAGGAGGAGTTTGGCCGTCTGCACACAGCGGAGGGCTGGGGAGGTGAACACAGAGATGACACGGACACCACTGTCCAGGAGTGCGGCCCCTGGAAAATAGCAGGTGGAAAATGGGCCTTCCAGTTCCAGCCTCTGACGGGCAGCCATCTCCAAGAGGGCCCAGATGTCCACTCCCTAGTGGACACATCCTGCATAAGCCCCTTGAGTAAACTGTGACCATGTGACATTATATGGCAGGAGAGGGAAGGTCCAGGTGGGCCTGAACAAGTCAGGTGAACCCTTAACAGCAGAGATCTTTTCTAGACAGCCACAGGAAAGAAGGCAGAGAAATTTGAAGTGAGGGAGACTCAGAACACAAAACGTTTCCATTACTGGATTCGCAGATGGGGACTGTGTCCCGAGGAACGAGGGAATACTCCAGGAGCTGAGAGTGGCCCCAGTGGACAGCTAGCTAGGAACGCACCTCAGTCCTCCAGCTGCAAGGATCTGAATTCTGCCAACAGTGTGAATGGGACCGAAGGGAGCCTGAGCTCCAGATGGGAGCTGAGCTAAGTGGAGACCTGGATTTCAGGCTGTGAGACCCCAAACAGAGAGCCAGCCACCCCGTGCTGGCGTTTCTGATCTACAGAATTGTAAGCCAACAAGTGGGCACTTCATTCAGTTTGTGGTAATTTGTTCTGTAGCCTCAGAAAACTCCAGACCCGTGAAGCTCCCAGAAGGACAAGCCTACAAACCACATTTCCTCTTGTGACAGTAGAAGCCCTGCCCTCTGGGACAGAAGCCATGTCCACAGCACAAAAACTACCTGGCAGCCAAGCCAGCAAGGCTCTGGTGGTAGAGGCCATTGTGGGATGACTTATGTCCCTCTCCAAAAAATGACGCATTGGAGTCCTAACCCCTGTGATCTCAGAACATGGCTTCATTTGGAAATAAGTTTTTTTAGTTGTCAAGGTTAAGATCAAGTTAAGCTCAGGGTGGGGAGAGTCATGCTTTGAAGAAGAGCCAACATGACTGTTGTCCTTATAAAAGGGGGGTTTGGGTACAGAGACATATGGAAAGATGACAATGTGAAGGTGAAGGGGAAGACGTCCATCTATAGGCCAGGGAGAGAGGCCCGAGATGGTCCTTTCCCCTCAGCCCCAGAGGGACCCACCACGGCCCTGCCTACACCTTGATCTGGGACTTCCAGCCTCCAGAAGTGGAGGTGAGAAGTGACTGTGTTTGAGCCACCCAGACTGTGGTGGTTTGTCACAGCAGCCCCAGCAAACACACAGAGACCAGCAATTACCCACACAGACACCGTTCACGGTGCTCCCGGTGCCCACACTGAGGGGGTGCAGGTGTCTACGTGAGGATTAGGACATGAGGCACGGAGCTGCAGAGGTGTGTTACGAGTGGTGCACAGGTACAGATGCACACCCACACGTGCACACATCACACATGCACACACCCTGCACACGCACACCGCACATTCCCACACCACACATGTACACACACTGTGAGCACACACCCCCGACGTGCGCACACACGTCCCACACATGCACGCACGCTGTGCACACACACACACTGTACATTCCCACACCACACATGTACACACACCGTGAGCACACACACCCACATGTGCACACATCACACATGCACACACCCTGCACACGCACACACGCACACCGCACATTCCCACACCACACATGTACACACACCGTGAGCACACACACCCACATGTGTACACATCACACATGCACACACCCTGCACACGCACACCGCACATTCCCACACCACACATGTACACACACCGTGAGCACACAAACCCACATGTGCACACATCACACATGCACACACCCTGCACACGCACACACACACACCGCACATTCCCACACCACACATGTACACACACCGTGAGCACACACCCCCGACGTGCGCACACATATCCCACACATGCACGCACGCTATGCACACACATGCACACTGCATATTCCCACACATGTACACGCACTGTGAGCACACACACCCCACGTGCACACACATGTCCCACACACGCACGCATGCTGCACACACCCACATGCGCATTCCCACACCACACATGTACACACACTGTGAGAACACACACCCCACATGCGCACACACGTCCCACACATGCACGCGTGCTGTGCACACACACACACTGTACATTCCCACACCACACATGTACACACACTGTGAGAACACACACCCCACATGCGCACACACGTCCCACACATGCATGCGTGCTGTGCACACACCACGCGCTGAGCACAGTACCCACAGCAGGAGGAGCCTGCTGCTGTGTGGGGTGGGCTCAGACTGACTCCTGGGCGAATGGCTGTCATCTCCTCCTGACTGCCCAGTGACCCTGCATTGGGAGCATGGGATCAATGGTCGTGTGAGTTCAGTATTTTCACCGCTGAAATCAGAAAACTCTCTGTCAGGGCTCCCCTGCCCTGCCCAGAGAGCCAGTGAGTAAACACCTCTGGTGGGCTTTGGGGTTGGGGTTCAAGTTCCTTCAGCAAACCAGCTGAGGGACTTCTTGAGATTCAATTTCTGAATTATAAAATGAAGAAGGACTCATGGTCTTTTCCATTCCAAAATATCCAGCCGTGTGTAACCGGAACCCCAGACATAAGATGAAAGTTCAAAGCGGCGGATTTTGTTACAAATCAATGAGGAGATGTGTTCTGGAATTTTTAAAATGGCGCCTGGTGCACACAGAGGCCGTGAGATTTCCTCCCCTCCCTCTCCATTACCATGCCTGCCTTTCATTCCTCCCGACTTCCTCAACCACCCATCCCCGGATCAGACCTCTTGCTGTGTGGCCCTGGGAGAGGCACTTAACCTTTTTGAGCCGTCCACACCTCAGTGTGACGCTGGTGCTAACATCAGGGCAGGTAGGGAGGGCTCAACACAGCCTGGCCCTTCCTGCCTGAGGGCACAAACACACCTGCTGTCCTGGACTGGAAAACTCCACACGAGGATAACGGCGGGTCGTTTTCAAAGTGTTGGATGCCGTTGCTCCGTCGGGGCAGACTGCAGGGGAAGTTCAGGTCTGGCCTGTAGTAGTGTCCTGAATCATAAATAACCACCAGACATTTAGTTTCATCAAGTTAGGGCAGACTTGTTCCATAACCCTCCCGCCCCAAGACCAAGACCCACTCTACAAGCAAGGTTATCATTTAAATGACTGTCAACTGTGTTGCTTCCTGAATGTGCTTGGAGACGTGGCTTCAATTCCAGGAGAAATTGCTGCTTGGACGGTTGTGCACATAAAATTTTCTCAAATGCATAAAACCCAGGTTTCAGCCTCAGGAACAGTCTGGCCCTTTGTCCTCCCAGAAGCCCTCATGAAGACTCACTCATGAGACTCACTCCTGATAAAGAACCAAGTGTCTCCATGACTGATTTCGCCTAAGGATGAATCTCAAGTTGGCACCAATGAATCGGGTGAAATTTGACCCATCCCCAGAGCTTTAAATGCATCACATTGCTCGGGGGACACAACCCACAAGGCTGGAGACGCCGTGTGCTGTGTGTACATTATGTGGTTGGCAGCTTGAAGTCCAGGCCAGAACCAGGTGGGTTCCCTGGGACTCTCCCTGTACCCCTGCCCTGTGGCTGCACAGTGCCATGGCTCACTATGAGTTTGACTTGAATTCTAAGATCCAACAGTCTGAGGGCAAATCCCAGCACACCATTTACTCTGTGTAACCACAGACAAGGGCCTTGATCTCTCTTATCAGTAAAAGGGGAAAACGACAGAGATGTTCTGACCAGTTAGCGCCATGATGCCCAGAGCCCAGCGCCTGGTGCAGAGAGCGTGGTCACACGTGGCAGCTGGTCTCGTCATCCAAGTGACAGATTGGCCATGCAGAGGGCACCACACCCGCCCTCCACTGTGCTCTGTTTTTCCTTAACGTCTCCCAAGTGCTACCAGTAGATCCTGCTGGCCCCCCTGACTTTCCTGAGACCCACTCTACAGCCTGAGGCACCCCCCCCCCGCCTTCCCAGGTGATGGTGGCACTGCCTTTCCTGCCCCAATTTGGAGCTTCCATGCAGGACTCTTTTGAAAACTCTGTGCCTGCCATTGCTGTTGCTGGAAACTCTTATTTGAATCACAGGCTTTAAAGACCTTTATTAAATGCCAGCGTTTGCCGTGGTCATTGGAAAAGGTAGTTTTTAAATCTTTTTTTTTTTTCCTCCAGAGACAGAATCCCCTCAATTTTGTGGCATTATGTGATCCAAAAAACATTAACACACCCCACTCAGGACTTTTGCTGTCCCTGATGCTTTGTGGTCTCTCTGGGCAGCATGCCACTATTAAACCATGCATGTCCCTCCTTCAGAGAGTTGAAGCTCTTCCTGGGCCAAGGGGCAAACACAGAAAGTCAAGTGATGGAAACAAGGCATGTGCATACAAGATTCAGACTAATTAGACACCATTATTCAGCTTATTGAAGGTGGGCTTCTCCACCTTGTAAAAATAACCAGACGCTTCTTTCAGCTGGGAAATTCTAATACCTTTAAAGTATTTTCCCCCAGAGGTGACTTGATGGTTTGCATAGATGACCAAATCGGTTTTCTTTTTTTATGAAGTGCAATAACTGGTTTTGGTGTTGATTGTTTTGTGTTGGTCCTCCATCCCCAGCCCCACCATGCAAGGACGTGATGTGTCACTTCAATGCAGTTTCCATCTGCAGTTGGAAGTTTCTTATATGTTTCAATGTCAATCCATCCTCGGGTCCTCCTGTTCTATCCTTAGGTCCTCCTGTTCTA